GGGGTGTTGGAGGAGGGACCCGGAGGCAGGCGGGCCTGGAGCAGCGCGAGCTGCGCCGCCTGCACCTGCACTGCCGAGCTGGGCCAGCCTCCCCTCGGCCTCTCCTCCCTCCCAGCTCCAGAAGGGTCTCGGTGAGTACTGAGGTGGCTCTGGGGAGGGGCTGCAGGGCGTGCGGGGTCCCTGTTGAGCTCCAGCAATCTGCCGGTAGCCTCGCTGCTCCCGACCCGTCTCTGCCCCTCCCTAGTGTCCCTTTATGGTCTCCCCTGGGCCAGGCGACATGTGTGAGATGTATCACACTCCTGGGGGGCGGGGAGAGGGTCGTGGTGCAGCCTTCCCACGGACCGAAGACCACTGTGGGGGAGGGGAGGATTGTAAATATGAATCTGTGTCTGAATGTGATTGTGACAAACAGGTCTGTCTGATCCACCTGTGCCTCTGTGCACTGGAGAATGAATGAGTGCCCGTGTATATATGATGGTACCTCTTTGTGTGTTCCTGTTTGGTGATGGTGTGTGTGTAAAACAAGCATGTGCCTTTCCATTACACACATATTTGTTATGACTGTGAGCGTGTGTGAGGGTGTGTCGTCTGTGTCTACCGGAGGGTGTTGCTCATGAATGTATTTAATGTGTACTGACATATGTGTCCTTAGGCACGTGTGTTCTGTGCATGGATGTATGTGTGTTCATGTGCATCTGTACCTGTGTGGGAAAAAATAGTCTTTCTTGTTCAGCATCTATGCATGGGGCAGGAACCTCCACTCAGGCTGTTGCTCACCGACACCTGAGTCTCAGCCTCTCATTGTCCCCACATAACCCTGTCCTTCCTTCTCCCCCTTCCCAAGCCCTGAGCCCCCCCCATCAAGGAACTCCCTCCTAAGAGGCCTGGAGGGGAGCCAGGCCGTGCAGTGATGGTGAGGGGGCCAGCTGACACTCCTGGTCCAGAGCTGGGGTCCCAGCCTCCTCTGCACCAGCTACCACTCCACATTACCCAGGCATTTGGCTCCTTCGACTTCTGAACTAGCTTCCTCCCCCAGAGTAGAGGCTCACAGCCCAGGAAGGAGTCAGGGCCCACTGGCCAGGCTGTGCCCTTCTCCTCAGGCCCCCATGGAAGGAGCCCCCAACGGTGGGCTTGGTGGCCCGAGTTCCCAGGGTGGGGTGGTTCCCCAGCCCTCTCTGCCTTGCTGTCCTGCCCACCTAACTTCCTGGGACTTCATACCCTGCTCCCTCCTCTCTTGCAGGCCTGTCTGAAGAGCATGCAGCCCCCTTGCTCCCCACCTGGCCTCGCCATCCCTGCTCCCCCAGCCTGACCCCCGGCCCCAGCATGGCCCAGGGTGCCATGCGCTTCTGCTCGGAAGGCGACTGTGCCATCTCCCCACCACGATGCCCTCGTCGCTGGCTCCCCGAAGGCCCAGTACCCCAGAGCCCCCCAGCCAGCATGTATGGCAGCACAGGCTCCCTGCTGCGGCGAGTGGCAGGCCCAGGGCCCCGTGGCCGGGACCTGGGACGTGTGACGGCACCCTGTACACCTCTGCGTGGTCCCCCCTCTCCTCGGATTGCTCCCTCACCCTGGGCACCCTCTTCACCCCCTGGGCAGCCCCCACCAGGGACCCAGAGCTCTGTGGTCATCTTCCGCTTTGTGGAGAAGGCCAGTGTGAGGCCATTGAACGGGCTCCCTGCGTCTGGAGGCTTGAGTCGGAGCTGGGACCTGGGTGGGGTCTCTTCCTCCAGGCCCACCCCAGCCCTGGGTCCTGGCTCCAACCGAAAGTTTCGGCTGGAGGCGTCCACATCAGACCCACTTCCCGCCGGAGGTGGCTCTGCCCTTCCTGGAAGCCAGAACTCCCTCCGTGGGACACCGGTCCCACCCCAGGTTGGGGCAGATGGACTGTACTCCTCTCTCCCCAATGGGCTGGGGGGCCCTCCTGAGCATCTAGCTGCACTATGTCGAGGGCCTGCTGACACTGGGTTCCTGAACCAGGTACGCAGTCATGAAGGGACTCACCTTGGCCCCCTGTCAGACTTAGGCCTGTGTGCTCTTCACTCTGAATCCTTTAATATCCTAAATCCCTCTCTCTTGTCCTCTGTGTTTGTCCCTGTGTGTTTTTCTACCCCATATGCTTGGGTCTTTATATGTCTGGCTTCATCTCTGGGTGCCTGTTTTTCTGTCCCTCTGTGGCTCAGGGAGACCCCTGGTCCTCCCCCCGGGAAGTCTCCTCCCATGCCCAGAGAATCGCTCGAGCCAAATGGGAATTCTTCTATGGCTCCCTGGACCCCCCCAGCTCAGGTAAGGCCTGGGATGAGGCCGAGGGAACAGGCAGGGCCCCTCACAGCAGCTGAGGGCTGGTCGGAGGGCTTCCTCCAAGACTTCCCCAGTCCTTTCCAGGGCCAAGGCCAAAGCTTCCTCGGGCCTTGCTCTTCCCGTCAGTATCATGCCTGGGACTGGAGAGGGCCTGGGCTGGGGCCTGGAGGAAGTGGGTCAGGGAGGGCAGGGATGGCCGGACATTACAGGTCACTCCTTAGACTAGAAAAGCAGCTTCTCAGAGCTGCTGGGAAAGAACTTTGTTTGCAATGAGCTCCCCTGTCCCCGGCAGCAGGAGGAATGGTGGCTAGACAGTGAGGAGGCTTCCTGCCCACTGGAGGCCATGTGGGGCCCCATGGATGGCCCCTGAGCTGGGCCCTGTGCACACCTACACAGGTGCTAAGCCCCCGGAGCAGGCGCCCCCCGCTGCCCCCACAGTGGGCTCAGGGCCAGGCTCCGGGGTGGCTGTGGGGCGAGCAGCTGAGTATTCGGAGACAGACTTGGACACGGTGCCCCTGAGGTGCTACCGAGAGACCAACATCGATGAGGTGCTGGCTGAGCGAGAAGAAGCCGACTCGGCCATTGAGAGCCAGCCCAGCTCTGAAGGCCCACCTGGCACTGCCCACCCAGCTGCCCCACATCACGGCCTGTGCCCTAGGCCTCGCTCCAGCCTGAGCAGTGGCAACGATCAAGAGGACGAGGCAGGCGGGGAAGAGGACGCAGATGATGAGGTGTTTGAGGCCTCCGAGGGGGCCCGGTGAGTGGGGAAGTGGGAGAGAAGGCTCCTTGCTTTTCTACTAGCCCTGAGGGGCTGGACAGAGCTGGGCAGGGAGGGAGGGGTGGAAGCAAAAGTGTGGTGCTGACCGGCAGATGGGGAGCCTGCCCTGTCAGAGCCTGAGGCCTGGCCGGCAGTGGGCTGTGCAGGCATCAAGAACCTCTCAGGCCGGGGTTCTAGAGGGTCCAGGGCCGGGGAGAAGTCTGAAGCTGGAATCCAGCCCAGGGACGTGGGACACCAGTCTGGAACCTGGGTCCCTGCAGGAGAGGGGCAGTGTGGGGCTTTCCTCTCTGTCTCACACCCCACCGCAGCTTGGAGCCTCATCTTCTCCTAAGATGTTGCCAGAAATAGAAATGGGATGGCAGGAGGGAAGCAGATCGGGGAAAGGAGGAGAAAGGGGGATTAGCAGAGAGGGAGGGAGGAAGGGGTGAGAGGCTTGGTGCCAGAGATGGCAGGGCTGGGTGCCTCGGGGATGCAGTCTCTTGGACCCTCTACCTGGGCGGTTCTGGGTGTCTGTCCTGTTATGAAATGGGATTGAGCCTGTGAAAAGGGAAAGCTGATCCTGTGTATGGCTGTGAGAGTGCAGAGACCCTGCCCTGGCCTGGCGGCCCCTAATCAGACATGTCCCGCCCAGCAGGCCCAACAGCCGGATGCCCCACCCTGGGCCTGTCAAGTCGCCAGTGCCCTTTCTCCCCGGGACCAGCCCTTCGGCCGAAGGGCCTGACTCGTTCAGTTGTGTGTTTGAAGCCATCCTGGAGTCACACCGTGCCAAGGGCACTTCTTACACCAGCCTCGTGTCCCTGGAGGCCCTGGCCTCACCTGGCCCAACCCAGAGCCCCTTCTTCACCTTTGAGCTGCCTCCCCAGCCCCCTGCACCCCGGCCTGACCCATCTGCTCCTGCCCCGCTGGCCCCTCTGGAGCCAGATTCTGGTACCAGCTCTGCTGCCGATGGTCCTTGGACACAGCGAGGGGAGGAGGAGGAGGCAGAGGCTGGAGCCAAGCTGCCCCCAGGGAGGGAGCCCCCTAGTCCCTGCCACTCAGAGGACAGCCTTGGGCTGGGGGCAGCACCCTTGGGCAGGTGAGTAACTGCTTTGGTCCCTCAGCCCCAAGGCCCCCAGGACCAGCTGGTTTAAGGGACAGACCCTGAGTGTGAGGACCCAAGTGGGGTGGTTAATAGATGTCTGCTTTCCCAATTGGAGAACTGCTTCCCCTGGGCTCAGATTTTGGGATTGGTTCAGGATTGAGAGGGCCTCAGAGAACCTCCCCCTTCCTCCGTGGAGGGCCCTCTCCTTGCCCAGGGAGTCTTTCACCTCCCTCCAGCCTGGAAGCTTCTCCAAAGATGGAGCCAGGTACCCCTCCCCTCGCCTCCCTCTCATGCAGCTCCCCCCACAGGGTGTCTCTCACCCTGCTCCAGGGAAGTCCTTTCACAGCCTAACCTTTCTGCTCTCCCCTTTGCCAGCTACCCTCTCAGTCATGGAAGCCATGGCAACAGGAGGGGGTGGCCAGGGAGACAGGGTTGCCTAGCAACCAGGAGTTTCAGTCCTCTGTCTCTGGGGTGACAGGTGGCTCTTGGAGTAGAGCAGCAGGGGTGGGAAGGGAAGGGGAGGAACAGAAAGGGGGTGAGGGTTGCACCCTGACCCCCAGCCCCAATCCTCCTAACTCCAGGGCTTGCTTCTTTGTGGGTAGAAGGGAGGAGCCGAGGAGAGGCTACTCTCCCTAAACGCTGGCTGGAGGAAAGACCTGGAAGCACAAGTATCCCTACTGCCTCGGATTTCTGCTCTACTACTCTCCCTGCTCCTCCCCAGCAGCCCATAGGCTCAGAGACAAAGGTCTCCGGTCTGAGGAAGGCTAGTGTGGGGTGGAGAATCTACAGCTAATGGCGAACTTGGGCCCCTGGGAGCAGAACTCCCATAGCAGCAAGATAGGTTCCATTTGAGACTGGACTTCCACTGAGAGGTAGCAGTGACGAACAGGCAGACCCAGACAACCTGCCAGATTTCCATCTCTGGAGAATGAGATGCTTTCCCATGTGTCTGTTCCCCCTTCCATCTTCCGGGTCTGTGGCAGGGGGAGGATCTGGATGACCTGTGAGAGCTCTGCCCCAACCCTGACCTGCTGTTCTACCCCGGCAGTGAACCACCCCTGAGCCAGCTGGTCTCAGACTCAGACTCAGAGCTGGACAGCACAGAGCGGCTGGCGCTGGGAAGCACAGATACCTTGTCCAATGGGCAGAAAGCAGATCTGGAGGCTGCACAGCGCCTCGCCAAGAGGCTGTACCGACTAGATGGCTTCAGGAAGGCCGATGTGGCCCGGCACCTGGGCAAGAAGTAAAGCCGCCGGGTGGGGCCGGGGCTGGGGGAAGAGGGTGTGACCCTGGCCAGCACCTCCACATCCTGGCCAGCTAACTCGCCTAGGTCTCTAATCCCCAGCTGAGCCCCGCCACTTCCCCTGAGACCCCACCTGTCTTTCTGCCTGCCTACAGCAATGACTTCAGCAAACTGGTGGCGGGCGAGTACCTCAAATTCTTTGTCTTCACGGGCATGACTCTGGACCAAGCCCTCAGGTGGGTCTCCACTCTCCAGGCTTGGTGTGCAGGGCCTGGCTATGCTTCCCCTGAGCCTGTGACTCTAACTGTCCTGACCTCAGCCCTCCCAAGCTACTGGGCATGGCCAGAGGCCAGGCTACCTGACAAAGGCCCCGGGCCAGGATGAAGTCTCCATTCCCCCTTCAGGGTGTTTCTCAAGGAGCTGGCCTTAATGGGTGAGACCCAGGAACGGGAGCGTGTGCTGGCTCACTTCTCCCAGCGGTACTTCCAGTGCAATCCTGAAGCTTTGTCCTCAGAGGGTGAGGAGCTGGACAGCTGGGTGTAATACGTGTGCACAGGAGTGAATATACATGCTTGCAGGCGTGAGGTGCATGTGTACAGGCATGGCTGGCATGGCTGCGGGCCTACATGCTGAGCAGGCATGCTGCTGGGGTCAGGAGCCAGAGGCGGGTAGCAGGTGGGTCTGCACGTAGTTGTTCATGTACGTGTGCAGCACAGCGATTGGCCAAAAGGCATCGCACCGGTCCACACAGCTGTGCCGCTCTGCTCACGTGTGCAGAATGCAGAAGCAGGTGTACACGAGGGCCAGTGGGGAGCTGGGGAAGAGGACCCCCGAGGAGAGGCCATTGCTGAGGGAGCTGCTGGAGGAGAGACTGGGAGGCTCCTAGCAGGGTTTGGGTTGCATTGGGAGGTTAGGCCCTGCAGCAGAGGGAAGCGTTCCTGGGCTTCCAAGTTGATGTCTGTTCTCCCCCAGACGGCGCCCACACACTGACCTGCGCCCTCATGCTACTCAACACGGATCTCCACGGCCACGTGAGTGGGCGGGCAGGGAGCCACATCAGACCCCAGTCCAGAGCCCAGAGCCTCGTAGCCGCCACACTCACAGGCGCCTTTTTCCCTCAGAACATAGGGAAGCGCATGACCTGTGGGGACTTCATCGGGAACCTGGAGGGCCTCAACGACGGCGGCGACTTCCCCAGGGAGCTGCTCAAGGTGTGGGCGGGGTGAGCAGCCGGTTGGAGGCTGAGGGGCAGAGGGCCGGAGGACCAGAGGGCGCAGACCCTGGGGCCGGACCTGCATTTGCCTCCGTTCCCCTCTCCAGTGTGAGTGTGCAGGGGGAGGGGGCGCAACACAGGCCCCCACCCCAGGGCGCCACCTCGCTGAGGGCCGATCCTGCCCCTGGCCCGACGGGACAGCCCGGAGCTGGCCGCGCAGGCCCCAGAAGAAGCCCGGGGTGCGTGGGAGGCGTCTCCGGGCCTTACACACATGTAGTCGAGCTGACCGTCGGTCTCAGTGTTTGTGGGTGTCGGTGAGCGTGTAGCCGGGCCATGTAGAGGGACGGAAGAGGGAGCATCTGTCCCGGGGTGCGTGTGACTCGGGGTTTGTTCTTCGGGTGTCGGTCGAACGGGTGCACCTTGGAGCCCAGTGCGGGTGCGCGTGAGCCGCCCACACGCGGCGGCGTGGCCTCCGAGTTTGGGCGAAAGTGAACTGGTGCGTCGGGGTAGTTGGCGTGCGTGTCTGAGGCGGGCGTCTGCTGGCCAGCCAGCTGAGCCAGAACCGCCCAGCGCCTT